TTGTGTATGTCTGTATTTGTGCATGTGGCTGCGGGTAGTTCTTCATCTGCTCATCTGTTTTCTGTATAGGATGGATTTTTGAACCCCAGAAAAAAAGTGTCTCCTTAAACTTATGGAAGAAATCTGTCAATATAGCTTAACCACAATGTAAATTGGGGGGATTAACATCTTCTAAGTGTTTCAGGTTATTTTTTTCAAGTACTGTTTACCAATTCTGAAATTCACTGTCATGCAGCTACAGGCACCTACCATCCTGTAATAGGACAGGAAAAACATCACATTTTATTTGTACTTCTTCTTTATCAAACTGTGTCAATAGAGTGAGCTTAACGAGTGACAGTTTGCCTTTTTACTGCAGAGGGTCTGTTGTGGCTCAGCATCTAGTGCTTCTCTGTCCCTAAGAACCTTAGCATGGGATTATGTGATAAACCAGGGACTGGTGTGAGGAGTTTTGGCTGTGTGATGCACCCTGGACACCACATGTTAAGCTAACAGTGACCCTTTCTACTCACAAGGGTTGGAATACTTTTTATTGGCCATTCTGAAGGGAAAATCAGTGTCATTCCCCCTTTCAGGACAGGTCAACAGAGTGAGAACAGTGGTAGGACAGTAGGTGTGACAATTATTCTAGGTGTCATTGGCCATGGCCCTAAGAAAACGAAGGAATATGTTGTAGATGACAACTGAAAAGGTTTGAATCATTATCAGAATTCATCAGTGACCCATGCCATAGCTAACTGGGTTTACAGGAAATACATTCCCAGGTGAAAAAACCTTTGGCACTCAGTCCAGACTTTCAGTTCAGAGGACACTGAGTTCCCAGTACAGGGGAGTGGAAGGTGATGTCATCCAAAAGATATTCCTTGCTTCCAAATTAGAAAGGGTGTTCAAAGTTCTCTAGTACCCACACACAGATGAAAAATACGTCTCTGAATAGCTATGAGCAACTTTTTGACAAACAGATGTTCCAGAAAAATCTCATGTATATAGTTTCCTTTAGAGAATGCTCCATGGATTCAACATGTACATTGGAAGCCTATGTTCACTTAAAACTTTCCCAGAAGATATCGTTAGGAGTGAAAATCCAAAATTAGCTCTAGGCCAAAAGTGAATAATTTTGACAGTCACTCTAAGATGGTTTATATTTTTGGAACCATATATGGGTGAAAATAATGATTTCAACAAGGGGAAAGAAGGGGGGAGGGGGAACTTTTAACATACAACAGAAAAAAATGCTTTAACTTTCACATGTGAAAGAGGTCGAATTCTCAAGACTTGCTAAATGAAACTCCAGGTAGTTTTAAAATTCCCTTTCACTAAAAGTTTATTCGAAATGCTTTATCAACTTTCAGGGCTAAACCACTAAACATTGCTTCCACTAATTAATATTTAACAGTTGGCTAGCATTTCTCTTCTGCATGTGTTCCCTTTTCATAACTAAAAACTAGTCAAAATTTAATTGAATTTTGATGATAATCTTAATAGCATCATTCTCTACATTTACTCCTTAAAGCAATTTCATTTTTGCAAATTGCTTTTGCATTCTTTATAGCTAGTTACATAACTTATTTTGCTCAAAGAGTAAATTAAATACTTACTGATGTAAAGTTGTTTTGCTTTTTCAGAATAAACACAAATATGTCAACAAATGCATAGAAAAGCATCTCATCTCGACAGGATTCATCAGTGTTCATTATTAAGTGTCTCTTAGTACTATTTCTAGCAGAGTACATAAGCCTTCCTCATAGATCTGGGAATGGGCATTGGAATAAAGTACTAAATTATGGCTTTTCTGGGCATGCACTCAGTCTAATCACCTGTTAGCTGACACCCCTTACACCTCAGAAGCTGATGAGCATCCAGATGGGGCTCCAAATTTAGAATTTTGAATTATATCCTAGGGGTCTTGGGCATTTAAAAATCACTTTGCAAGTCTCATCAATTTTAGAAGAACTTTCCAATGTGGAACAGCAGCCAAGAGCAGCAAACTTAAGCAAACACCCTCTTTATAAGAAACTGAAATTCTCAGAGAGAAAAATACTAATGAGTGGAAGCAATACAGGAGTGAAAGTGAAGAATGGCCATAGGAGAGAGTTGTTACTATTACTACTATGAAAGACATTTTTAAAAAATTCTCTAAAGTGGTAATGTGTTCAGGGTTCGTTTCCTGATGGCTAACTTTTTAGCAGAGCTGGGTTGAAAGTTATAGCTCTAAAGAGCACAAGTATAGCTGTGAGCTTAGATGTGCCCTGAGGATGTCATGCACCCCAGAGACTCAACTACTATGTAATTTGGGGTGCGGGGTTCATTGCACCACTCAGCAGCCAGCTACTATGTCTTCATTGTCATCAGTTTTGTTGAATGTCAAAAATCACCTATTTGGAGACACCTGTGTGCAAGAGAGAGAGGTGGACTCTGAGTGATGTTCCCTAAGGCTCATCATCTTCTCACTTAGAACAGCATCTTGTCTGTGGGGAGGGAAGCCTTTAATACACTGATGATAGCATTGGGAGGCACCACAGGAAATGACGTGGCCCAAAGTTCTAACGGAAACCTGGGGGATTTTGGCCTTCAACCAGCACCCCTCATGGCTACCACTCTCTGAACCTGACCACTAGAGTGTCTTCCTGCATGCACCTCCACCTCTAGGCCTTAGATTATCTTTCAGCTAACTTTCTTCAATTGTGGTGACCTTGCCCACCAAGACACCACTCATCAGAAATGATGCCCTCTCATCTCCAGGTGTCACATGAACACTGTTCCTAAGTACACCATGCATTTCCTACTCTATACCATCTGTGGCTCAGGTTGGAGCTGGCAACATACCCACTGGCTGGCTGAGTAAAGTCCTAGTTAAAAATACACAACTAACAGACACAAACTCTCTTGTAAAAAAAAATAAATAAATAAATTGTCCTGTGTTTTTAAATTCAACAAAAGGGCAGAACTTAAAAAACATTCCTTGGAATCTGACTTTTTTTCTTAATGTAAAAATAACTAAAGTTCAAATCCAAGTCACAAAGGCCAATGGTTTGGACCTTCTCAGTGATTATGTACTTTTAACAACAAGATTCACTTGTTGATCTAAATGATATTTGGAAGCATGTAGAAAAATCTCATCACTTTTTCTTAGCTCAGGAGGAAAGAAAAAGCCATTCACACTGATTTATCAGGAAATATGCACTGAGAATTTTTAAATAAACGAAAAGTCACAGAAATTTGGGAAGTCTGAGAACATGAGCAACTCTGGAGCAGCTTCTCAATGCAGGCAACTATTTTTTAAGACAGTAAACATGTAAGTATTTATGATATGCATGGTCTCTTGGTAAATGCTGTTAATAAAAACAAAGTTACATTTGGTTTCTCTTCTCAGGGAAACTGCAGATTGAGATAATGGCATGACCTTAGATCCTACAGGACACTTGACTATGGTAGGACATGGTTCTGCCAGTGAATACCATCATTTCCTTGTATAGTCACATGGCCAATTATGTAGCTGATTATTAGGATACACATAAAATCCTCTATATCTTTGGTATTATTGTGTCCACTGTATTTATACATACCTCTCCAATACTAGCACTTCTTATTTCTGCAATAATTCTCCACCAACACCCTGTGTCACTTTAGGAGGGCTGAACCGTATTACAACAGGAGGGATCTAATTCAAGAAAGCTATCTTTCTCCAAATTCTGATCTGGTTGAAGCTCTACCTTGTAGTATGTATTCAGATTCCTCAAGTGAAATGTACTGGTGCATGTTATAATAAATTCACTTGTAGAAATTAATTTAAAAAACCTGTTTCTCACCAAATCTAAAACTTAGAGATGTTAGAACCAGCTTTCTTACATCTTTTTCAGAAGACCTAGGGACTTGAGCTCTTCATTGACAAAGGGGACTGATACTGGCTTATCATTTCCAGAGGTGGTTGGGTGACCATACCTGCTTCAGGAATTACACAGGCATAGATCTCTCCTGCCCACAATGATGCAGAGTGCTACAAAAAGTCATTTTATTCATTATTTTAGACAACAATAAAAAGGGTTTCATAAGCACTTAAAATCCAGTGTGCTGGGATGCTTTCCATGTTGCTGGCTAATCATCTTCATTCGAGGGTTAGTGCTGATATCAAAATAATATCCCCCACAGCATCGCTCTTCTCCCACCACCTTTCATGATCATAGGCAACTCCACCGGCAATAGCGCTGTGACTGTGGGTGGGTGGCTAGAGGACAGGCTATGAAGAGTCCTCCACTTCACACAGGCAAGGCTGCGTTTTTCATTGTGTTCTGTGACTTCTCTTTCAAGAGCTGCTATTACTGGACTGGCAGGCCTGCTTTACATAACCCTTCACTCTGCATTTATATCCTCCTGGTCCTCTAATAGGATAAAAAGGAAGAAAGGAGCATAATAGGAACAAAATTTGCTTCTGAATATAGCGGCTTAGTCTTCTCATGGGATCCTTAGGGGTCCACCTTTCTTCTCTACCTTGCCTTCAACTCTCGGTGACCTGTTTCTCACTGGAGTGTGGACATCCGGGATGATGGGTGCAGGCTGCCAGAGATACCCTACTGCAAGAATAATATACTTCATTGTGACCAAGCTCTGGCTGTACCACCCAACTTTATTGGTTTTAGTGTGTTTTGGAACAGACTGAAATTCGCTTACTTTCTTAAAGACTCTGTGGTTCAGACAGTGTAATACGCTTGAGTTCTTCTGGCCTCTGGGGAAAACCTATACTCTCTTGAATTAAATAAGAGAAAACTACCCTTCAACATAATCCTAAACCAGAAGTAAGAGGCATTAATTCACGTTTCAGACATGGTTGAGAACATAGCCACACATTCTGCTGTCATCTTTCCTTTAAAGGATGGAGCCTAGTTCCCTCCATTTTTGTGTAGGCTGGACTCTGTGATTCCTTCTAGAGTAGAAATTGATAAAGTGCTTACAGGTGTGTGTTGGACCTGCTTAGAAGCATATGGTTTCTCCTTTTATTACAGACTCAGAATTACTCACTCTGGGGGAGGTCAGCTGCCATACTGGGAGGACACTCAAGCAGCCCCAAGAATAGAGGCCTCTGGCAGAGCCACATGAGATGTCTGCAGTGAGTTGGTGAGTTGGTGAGTCCGGCAGCCCCAGGCGAGCCTTTGGAGAACTGTGATCTCATCCAGCATCTTGTGCTTAATCTCAGGAGAGATCCTGAGTCTCTCTTCCCAGCTGAGCTGCACTGGGAATTCCTGTAATCTATGGGCATTCTTGATCCATAGAAACTGTGAGATCATATAACTTTTTTGTTTGAAGCCACTAAGTTTTGAGTTAGTTTGTTACAGATGGGAAAAGCTGATGCTATTGAAAGACAGAGCTGTGGATGGAAATCCTAGGAATTTGTTCTCATTGTCTTGACAGTGCATGTTTAGATTTTTGAAAGGACACGCACATGCATATATCATGTATTGACTAAAGTTAGTATTGTGTGAAAACCTGAGGGTATGTGTTTCTGAAGGTTATTTCATCTCTCCATCTTCTTGTTAGTCTCATCATATCACTATGTTTGCATATCCAACAAGAGAGACATACATTTTTCAGGCAGTAATCACAGACACCATGTATCCTATGTGGTTGAGGGCTAAAAGAAATATAGTAGTAAGAGGTTGTGAGGGGAATGGGATAATAAACAAGGAGGGAAATGAATTACAGTAGATGGGGTAGAGAGAGAAGATGGGAGGGGAGGGGAGGGGGGATAGTAGAGGATAGGAAAGGTAGCAAAGTACAACAGTCACTAATATGGCAGTATGTAAAAATGTGGATGTGTAACCGATGTGATTCTGCAATCTGTATTTGGGGTAAAAATGGGAGTTCACAACCCACTTGATTCTAATGTATGAAATATGATATGTCAAGAGCTTTGTAATGTTGTGAACAACCAATAAAAAATAAAATAAAATAAAATTAAGGAGAAAAAAAAAGAAATATAGTAGTACCTTTCCAGCCATAAACAACAACAGACAAATGGGGACTATTTTGCATGAAAGAATTCAGAGAAGCACAGGAATCACCTTTTTAAAATATAATTCAGCCAAATATTTTTATTCAGTAGGAATGGAAATATCTTGTAATTCTTGACTTTTTTTTTTTCATTTCTCATTTCTCTCCACTTTTGGGTGATCCTCATTGTTTCTAATTCTGTGTTGTTTAGATCATTTTAGCAGATGGTAATCAAATACCAGACAGATCTCAAATTAATAGCAAATGGTAAGATTTCCTTGGAGGCATTTTTCCAAGCCCCCTCAACCTAAAACTGATGACTCTGAATGTATGGGAGTGGGATGGGGAGGGATGGTTGGAGGTTTCTGGGTAATGCAATATATTTTAGTACTCAAGTTTTAAAAAACATTACATGATAATTCTTGTCCAGTATAGAAAAATTTAAAAATATAGATGAACCAAGGGAAGATAATACAAATTACAATCACACAAGCTAGAGATAACTGGTATCAAGATGCCAAGGTGGTCATGGAGACGAGCACCTGGTGGAAGGCAGGACAGGTGGAACTCCTGGGACTTGAGGCTGCCTTGGGAAAGAGGAGCACCAGACCTTTCTCTAATAGACAACATGATGTATAGAACTAATGGAAACTCTGAGCACTTGCTAACATTTCACTGCATATACCCATCTAAGTTTTCATCTATGTATTGTGTATTTACTTTAGCATCTATCTTTATCCTATCAAGATAGAATAATGCCCAACATACTGTTTGACAATCAGCTTTATTTTCTTTAAGAATACATTACATGGGCTGGGGGTGTGGCTCAGTAGTACAGCGCTTGCCTAACATGTGGGAGGCACTGAGTTCAATTCTCAGTACCATACATAAATAAAGAAAATAAAGGTCCATTGATAATTTAAAAAATTAAAAATACTTTATATATTTTTCTGTATTAGTGAATAAATATCTGTTTAATTACAAGGGCCACATAATAAACCATAATAAATGAGTACTCAGTCTATAATGAATATCCCCATTGCTAATAAGGGGAAGGCAGAGATTAGAAATGCTGGATTATAGGACATGCATTTTGAGGCTTTGATATATTTTGTCAAATTGCTTTCAAAAAAGTTATATTGATCTGCACTCACATTGCCTGTGTTTTGAAGCGGACATGCAACTCTAATTTTACCAATCTGTCAGCACTGTTTGTTTGTTCCACATTTTAAGCAATTGCAAGAACACACATCACAGTGGTCCTCCAAACCATGCAGCATCATCTTAACTCATAGGTTAGACAGAAATTCCACTGCTGTGGAATTAAAAGAGCTTCTCCTCTTATCTGTTCTTTTGCCTACTTTATCTGTGAAGGAAAACTTGGGTTAGAGTAGTTAGATGAATCTTTCCCAAATCTGAAACCAAACTTAAGGTGATTGACTCCCAATCCCAGGAGTCTGACTTCTACACCCCATTGTGTCTGGTCTCTCATACGTTCCTATCTCCTTCCCACCTGCCCAAGATACATCAGGAGCTTCCAGTATGAGCCCTGGCCCCCAGGCCTCTGTTATTATGCAAGCTTCATCCATTTCCCTTGATCCTATTGGACAGGTTCACTTGAAACACTCTATATTTCAAAGCAGCTAGAAGATTTTGAATAGTCTCAACATAAAATGACAAGTGCTTCAGATGATGGATATGTTGATTATCATGATTTGATCTGTACTCATTGTATACATGTATTAAAAGATCACATGCTCCCTCATAAATATGTACAATTATATGTTAATTAAAGAAAATAAAATTAAGAAGTTGAAAAGCCCCACTATGATTAGATTTACTTTAAAAAAATTTTTTGTTGTAGTTGGATACAATATCTTTATTTTATTTACTTATTTTTATATGGTGCTGAGGATCAAACCCAGCATCTTGCATGTGCTAGGAGAGCACTGTACTGCTGAGCTACATCCCCAGCCCTGATTAGATTTACTTTTAATGCATAGAATATTAGAGGCTTCTGAAGGCAAATACTCTTCAATCTTGTAGACATTGAACACAGATATTTTTTCATATGGATTTTAGTATAACGTATCTACAATACACATGGATGTTCCAAGAGAAAGAAATCCCTGGTAACTAGGCCTTTTCTGTTGCTGTGACAGAGTCACACATGCTACAAATGAATAGAAGTGTTCTCTTCGTTTTCTTTTTGGGCTCTGCAAACATGCTGGCGGTGGGGGGATGGGGACCCTCTTTCAAAAGAATCTACTACTCCAGTTTTTGGTAGTTGTGTCTTCACTTCCATGCAGTGTTAGTCACGTGGTAAAAGACACATCTGTGTAGGGGCTTGAGCATCTGCCAGCTAACGCACTCAGACAATTTAAATGACTTCACGTTATTGCACCTTCAGGATGTAGCCCCAAACTGTCATGGCTGGGACAAGAAGGAAAACCCGACCCTGCAGCAGATGACTTTGACAGCGATGCCTCACAAGGACATGTGCCTGCAGAATTAAAACAGGGTTATGTTGGCACTTTCTAGGAATAGTTCCTACCTGTTACCTTCATCTGTTTTTTTTTTTTCTTTCCAAATCTCCAAATTTCTTTAAAAGACATCCCAGGAAGTGGGATATTACCAGTGGCATGGAGAGTCATGGAAGTTAAGGAAGGAGTTGGCTGCACACCTGTGTTCTCCATGTTTCCGCTGTTACAGCATCCTAGTCACTACTGCTAAGATCACTGGTCTGGATGCTGTGTCCCTCCAAAATTTACATGTCGAAATTTTACCACTAAGATGGTGGTTTTAGGAAGTGGGGACTATGGGAGATGGTTAAGTCAGGGTAGAACCCTCATGAATGGAGTTAGCTTTCTTATAAAAGAGGCCACAGGGAGCTGCTTCACCCCTTCTGCCATGTGGGGGAAACAGAATAGACGCCATCTATGAAACAGGAAGTGAGCTTTCCCTAGACCCGGTATCTGCCAGCACCTGAACCTTGGGCTGCCAGTCTGAAGAACTGTGAGAAATAAATTCCTATTGTTTATAAGCTCCTTGTTTTATAGTATTGTGTGATAGTGGACTAAATGGGATAACACGTGTGTAATATGTTAAACATACCCTCCTCCCCCACAATTTCATAACTTAAAACAGTTCTATTTTTTTCTCATGATTTCATGGATCTGGTACTTGGGAAAGGCGCATGTGTATGGTTCTTAATTGGGAATCTCTCATGTAATTGCAGTCAGATGTCAGCCAGGGCTGGTGTTCAAGATGGCTCAGTCATATGGCAAACATTTGGTGCTGTATGTTGGCTGAGAGCTTAGCTGTGTCTGTCAACTGGAGCACCTGTGGTGACCTTCCGGAATGCCAGTCTCAGGGTTGCTGGGCTGATTACATGCAGTTAGCTCGCTGGCATGCTGTCCTCAAGCAAGTCCCCGAAAGGCTGTACCACCTTCTCTGATTGCTGTGGTTTAGATATGAGGTGTCCCCCCAGAGCTCCTGTCGTAATGCAGGAATATTCAGTATAAAATGATTTGTGAGATTGTGGGAGCTGTAACCTGATTAGTCCTTTTTAGTTTGAATGAACTGACTGAGTGGACAGCAGGTGGGGTGTGACTGGAGGTGGTCAGTCACTGGGTACAAGCCCCAGGAGGGTACATCTTCCCTGCAGCCTCTTCCTACTCCCTCTCTCTGCTGCTTGACCCCATCACGAATTGAGCAGCTTTCCTCTGCTAGGCCCTTTCTCCTTCATGTGCTGCTTTACTTTGGGCCTAGTAGGAAATGGAGTTGGCCATCTATGGACTGAGACCTGTGCTACTGTGAGCTAAAGTAAATTTTTCCTTCTCTTAGTTTCTCTTGTGGGGTATTTTAGTCACAGCAGTGAAAAAGCTGACTGAAACACGGACCCAACTTCAGATATCTTGCAGAGCCATGTCCAGCATAATCTGTTAGTTGAAGCAATTGCACATTCAGCTGGGGTCAAGGGGAAAAATCTTGGATCCCACCCACCTCACAGTGGAAGAAATGCTAAATAATTGGGCAATATCTTTTTGAAATGGCCCAATTAATACCGTGTTATGCACTTCACCCTCAAATTAAATGGTGTGGCTTTTGAAGTCAACAGATTGACATCAAGGTGTGGAACTATGTGCTCATGGTTGAATATAAAGCACTTATTATTTCTGTTTCCAGTGAGCATATACTAAAGCTCCAGAGGTTAATGATTTACCCAGTATTCTAGGATGGGTGATCTTCCTCCTCTATAAAGTGACCATCACTTCTACTTACATGAATTGTTTGGACACTATCATCCTTACAATTTTATCAAGTGTTTGCCACATGAGGTTGTCCAAGAGAACTTCATAGCAGCACTCAAATAATCAGGCATTGTTATTATTATTAGCAATGAGAATGGTCCACTCAGATCTGTCTAAGTGGCAGGTGCTACATCTTGATGTGGCATACACGTCAGGTGGGAGATCAGTATTTGCTAATTATAATTAAGCTTTATGCAGGATGTTTCTGACTGCCAACATAAACGCATCTCCCCATAGATCAGCTTGCAAGAAAGTTTCAATTATGAACCTAGATTCATTTTCTATTGGAAGATAAACACTGAAGTAGGATTTCCTGCTGAAGTACACTTTACTAGACTGTGTCTTATGCCTCAGCTTATGAGTATCTCACTAGAAGTTCATTTATTTGTTCAGTTGTACATTTAAGTTTTTGATGTTAGCTTTTTAAAAATCTTATTTCTATTGCATGAATATAGACATATCATAAAATTTACTATCAATTATTTCAGTTGTACTGTTGACTGGTGTCAAACTTATCTATGGTGCAGAGCAACCATCACTACCATCTACTCCATCACCTTTCTTGTCTTTGCAGAACTGAAACTCTGTTCCTATTAAGTAATATACCCTTGCTCCTCCCTCCACCCAACCCCTGGCAACACCATTCTGCTTTCTCTGATTTTGAACTACCCTATATAACTCATTTCAGTGAAATCATACAGCATTTATCTTTTGTGAGACATCTATTTTATTTACTATAAATAATGTTTTTCACTTACTATTGTGTTTTCTTTCTTTTGAAGATTGAGTAATATTCCTTTATGTGTAGTCTCACATTTTGCTTATCCATGCCTCCTTCAAGAGGGCACTTGCACCCTTGGGCTATTGTAAATAATGTTGCTGTGAACCTGGGTGTACAGCACTTCTTCAAGACCCTGCTTTCAATTCTTTTGTGTATGTACCCGGAAGTAGAGTTTCTGCATTTAATATAATCCTATGCTTAATTTTCCGAGGAACTGCCTTTGTGCTTTCTATGGTGGCTATGCCATTTTACACTCTACAAGACACAAGAGTTCCAGTTTCTCCATATTCTCACACAAACGTGAGTTTTACAGGAGGAAGCAGCTTGCCTGCCCTCTATTCTCTGGTACCTTAATTTCACCAGCACATTTGGTTCACACTGTTTTCTTTTGAGAAGAAAATGCCCTCAGTCTATCTCTGAAGAATCCTGTTTTCAAGGAAGTACATAAGAGAAAAAAAAAAAAAGAAGAAGAAACAGCTCAAATAAGCCAGAGGGGAAATGCACTTTGGACAGACTTCTGACCTAAGTGAAGTGCTCACCTATTTTGTTATTAAGCATAGTCCTATCTTTCAGCCAAGCTTCCTCACCAGCTAGATCAACACGTGGACTGTGGACACTGTGACATAGTGTCCCATTCTGAATGTCTCCTCCTGTCACAAGACAGGAATGAGGATAAAGCCTGCAGTGTGATCCCTGTAATCCAACATCTTGATGCTAATCCTGGGGAACTTTATTATTTACCATCTCCATTTGCCACTGACCTCAAGGTTTCTGTAAATAAAAAGTAATTGCTTCCTACAGAAATTAGGGGATGTCTCCTGTAGAAATAGCATAAGGTAACAGATTCCACTGTTCAGAAAAAGGATACAGATTAATGGAATTTTTCAGGTGATCAGGGAGATAGACACCCATCCTTAGATCAACTTACTCTTACATGGAACCAGGATACAATGTATTTTCGTCCCCAAAGGACCAGTCTAGAATTTATCAGGCATATTTTTT